CCCGGCCCCGGCAGCAAGCGCGGGCGGATCCCGAGTCCAGTGCCTGCCCAGCGCAGAGGGCCAAGAGCTGATGGCACACGTGCAGAAATCCCACAGCTGCGGTACAGCTCACCGTGGCCTGGCTCACCGTGGCCTGGCTCACCGCGGCCTGGCTCACCGCGGCCTGGCTCACCACGTACCTGACTCACCGTGGCCTGGCTCACCGCGGCCTGGCTCACCGTGGCCTGGCTCACTGTGGCCTGGCTCACCGCATGCCTGGCTCACCGTGGCCTGGCTCACCGCGGCCTGGCTCACCACGGCCTGGCTCACCACGGCCTGGCTCACTGTAGCCTGGCTCACCGCGGCCTGGCTCACCGCGTGCCCGGAGCCCCCGCAGCGAGCAGACCTTGCTCTCCCTCCTGAGCCAGCCCGCCTGTCTCCTCAAGGTCCAGGCAAGCTGGGGTCACGCCTCCTCTGGGTTTACCTTCATCTTGAGTGGTGCTACACACACCGTGCTGGGGGCTGGCTGGCAGCACCAAAGAGCCCTGTAATTGCCACCTGCTCAGGCCATTGCCCTGCCCACCGCCCCGCCCACCGCCCCACCCATAGCCCCATCCACTGCCCCGCCCATCGGCCCCCACCGCCCCGCCCACCGCCCCGCCCACCGCCCTGCCCACCGTCCTGTCCACTTCCCTGCCCACCGCCCTGTCTACCGCCCTCTCCACTGCCCTGCCCACCACCAGAAGTCACCCATGGAAGTTCCCTGTGCCGCCGGGGGAAATGGCCACGTCTCTTGGGAACCTGACACGTGGCTAGAAATGAAGTTACGTAGGGTTTGTAGCGATCCGTTGCACATCCCAATTCTGGAAGTCAGAGTATGTAATTTCTTGAGCACCGACATAAGGACACAGGTGAAAAGGCCACACCCACCTCTGGGCGAGCTGGGACACTAAGCGCGGTGGCCAGCTGCCTGCAGGGCCGCTCTGTGTGGTGGACGGTGACTGCAGACCACACGTCTAGGGCGTCGGCACATCGTAACAAGTCCACGGTCAGAAGACACATGCGAATATACCAAAACGCAGAAAAGCCTGAAATCCAAAGCTTCCCAGGGCTCCCAGATCAGAGGAGCCCTAGACCTGTGCACAGCACACCTGACCTCCAGTGCGGGCGGTGGCCAGCTACGCAGAGGGGGAGAGAGCGGACCTGAGCTGCCAACAGCCTCCAGCCCTCCGCCCTCCACCCTCCTGGGGTCTTGCATTTCTGTGACTGGGAAGATGTCTGTTGAGATGGCAGGAATACTCACATGCCCTGAAAAGTTTATTCATCTTTAGAAGGTGGAACAAGGACATTACAATGTGGCCGTACGTTTGTGTGTGCAGTGCGCGTAGATCAGAGTCACGGCCTCCGTTACTCTCCCGCCCCCCCCCGCCCCCTGACCCCTGACCCCCCCCACCAGCCCTTCTCTCCCATGACCCCAACCTCCACCTTCCCTTTCCCACTATCTGCCCGCCTCCTGCTCTCGCCCCTCCTGTCCCCACCTTCCCTTAACACGGCTCAGCGTCCTGATTCTCGTTTTGTTAGGCTGTCTGTGAATTATTCCAAGGGTTTACATCGTAGAGTGTCACTGTGTTTTCTTGTGGTGTGTGAGTGTGTGTGTGAGTGTGTATGTGTGTTTACACGCTTTTCTTGGTCTGTTCGTTGGCTGCGGGGCCTCCGGGCTGTCTCCGCAGTGTGCTGTGTTCTGGGCAGCGTGTGTGTGTGTGAGTGTGTGCACACATCTTCTTGGTCTGTTTGTTGGCTGAGGGGCCTCCGGGCTGTCTCCGCAGCGTACTGTGTTCTGGGCAGCGGTGAACGGGCAGTGCTGACTGGCCCTGGAGGGGCTTCTGGCTGGAGGGTAGGTAGCTCTGTGTTCGGTTTCTCGAGGCGTCTTCATCCCGACTTCCACAGTGGCTGCTCTGGTCTGCATCCCGCCTGGCATCTCGGGCTCTTCTGTGCCCTTGTCAGCTTCTGTCCAGGGGGTGAAGGCCACAGGGTGGTCAGCGCTGGAGTGAGAGCAGGTGATGTGGGAGCCCGGGTCTGCGTGAGGGCAGCCGGACGCCCAGCAGAGCTGGGGAGGAGCCGTACCCTGCCCCGTGACAGGCCCCAGCCCCACCACACGGTCTCGGAATCTGGGCTGGGGTATGAAATTGCTCGATTTGTAAACACCTGAAACCTCGTGCTCGGGAGCCGGGTTGGGGGCAGCCTGGCATCTGAGCTTTGCCTCATGACGATTAATAAACTTAGCCGGGCGCCGGTGGCTCACGCCTGTCATCCTAGCTACTCAGGAGGCTGAGATCTGAGGATCCCAGTTCAAATCCAACACCGGGCAGGAAAGTCCATGAGACTCTTATCGCCAGTAAACCATCAGAAAACCAGGAGTGGTGCTGTGGCTCACATGGTAGAGCGCTAGCCTTGAGCTGAAAGGCTGAGGGACAGCACCCAGGCCCGGAGTTCAAGACCCATGACTGACCAAAAGAAAAAAATAGCATCCAGTCCTGGCAGGATGGAGTCCTGGAGACCCTCACAGGTTCGCGCGCTCCCATCCGCCTCACCCCTCCCTCCCTCCCCACTCCCTCAGCCTCAGCCAGCCCAGCAGGCCTCAGAACTCCGCTTTCAGGTGCAGGGAAAGTTCCCCCCTTCCTGCCTGCCCTCCCTACAAGTCCACTCCCCCAGGCCTCCCCCCTCCCTGCCTGCCCTCCCCACACATCCGCTCCCCCAGGCCTCCCCCCTCCCTGCTGCCCTCCCCACACGTCCGCTCCCCCAGGCCTCACTTTGCTGTCCTTCATTTTTTCAAAAGATAATGGCACAAGAGAGGGTTTGCCCCGGCACTCCAGACTTGCTTGTGTTATAATTTGGTTGGATTAAGTGCA